CGTTCGACCAACAACGCAAGCGTGTAACTAGGTGACTGGTTGATTTCAAAAGCGCATCCACCCTATACAAGGGAAAAACTAAACACCTAGGAGCCTACGTCGCCGTTAGGCTACTAACTTTGCAAGTTTTTATCCTAATGTAGGCTCTAGGGTGTTCGGTTTTTCCCTTAAATAGGGTGCATCTGAGTCGAAGCCGCCTTCTGACACGTAACCTGTGTTGCGACTGGGCGTAACTTTTAAAGCCGGTAAAGCCGTGGCAGGATCTAGGCGGACGGCACCACTAGAAGGTCTGGTAACGATAAACCGGGCGGCTTCACGTGGACTGATGAGCTGAGTGAGACCACACTGACCGGTACCAGGGAGCACCAATGATGAACAATCCTCCGCCGCCCCCATTTTGCTTACGAGGCGTGGGTCTTGGCAGGGCGGACAAACACCAGTACAAATATATGTATAGATGGCTGCTATGAGATCTTTCAGAACGCTCATACAATCCGTGGAGTTCATCATCATGTTCGGCTTCTTCTCTACAAAGTACAAGCATCGCAAACGCCATCCGGTAGATGACGATATCACAGCATCGGAACTACAACACCTTACCCACATGCAGATGCCGCACTCCGAACCTTTGAAAAAGTCCAGAGATACATTCACCAAAGGTTGGAGATTCGGCGCCCTCAACTGCGCGATCGCAGCCTCCATAGTCTTTCTCATAAATCTGATCGCCACTATAGCATGGGCTGCCAATACTGATAGCGGTGTATTATTCAGAGGGGACTGTGATCGTGCGCGTAAGATCAACGCAGTCCTTCATGTCATCATCAACTTGTTGAGTACAATTCTGTTGTCTTCATCGAATTACGCTATGCAGTGTCTATCTTCTCCAACCAGAATGGATATCAACGTCGCCCACTCTCGAGGCCAATGGATGGATGTAGGTGTCCTAAGCGTTCGAAATCTACGTCGCATCAGCAAGAAGCGCGTACTTCTTTGGTCAGCCCTAGCGCTCTCGTCGCTACCTCTACATCTCTTGTAAGTATTGAGTCGAAGCCAGAACCTATAGTACACTAACATGTGAAGTTACAACTCGGTCGTGTATCTGTCTCTTGCAGCATACAGTTACGAAGTTTACGGGGTCAGACAAAACTTTGTTGACAGCGCTGAATGTCTGGGCTGTGTGAGTCCTATCAATGGCTCCGACTTCGCCTTCACCAGGGAGATACACCAAAGGATCCAAGAAAGCCGGTTCGAGAGGCTCGATAACTTGGATTGCATTGACGCATACGCAACAACCCTGCAAACGCATAGAGGCGATCTACTTTTAGTGGCTAAGTCTGATGACATTGTATGGGCAAATCAAACTGAAGGGGTAGACGACGACTACAAGAATAACGAAAACTCGGGGGTTTTCTGGACTCACTCGCTCACAAGTGCTTGGGAATATTTTCCACAGGATACTTTCGAGTGGATTTGTTCGGGCCATACGGATGTGGACAAGTCATGCGACGCAGTAGTAGACGACATCAGAGGCTCTGCACGGAACTGGACCATAACAGGTGATATTGGCTACCTCGTGAGTGTGTCTGGGTTCTCCCACATGAGAGGCCCCATACAGTACTGTTTGCGTGAAAGGAAAGACTCAAAGTGTCGAGTTCTCTGGAGCATTCCCATCGCGTCGCTGGTGATAGGGCTGAATCTTATCAAGGCCATATCGATCTTCTATTTGGCTCTTCGCATTAAAGAGCAGCCACTCATGACGATGGGTGACGCTGTGCTCTCATTCCTGAAACAGCCGGATCCATGGACTCGGAATATGTGCCTCGCTTCCTCCAAGGACATCGAGAGTGCAAAAAACAATTTCATTGCCGGACCGAAGAGATGGAAGCTTCGAATCTATAGATGGAAAGATACTACAAGTCTAAGCCGTCGCATTAGCACTTTCGCTGTGTAAGTGCGCACGCGTCGTTCTACCATCCGCAAAGATTCGTTAACATCCCCCAGGCTTCTGATCTCGATAGCAACCGTAGGAGGATTTCTTTCCTACGGGTTGCGTCATCTCCGATCTGGTAAAAGTAACTCCCTTCGCAATCTCGCTGCGTTGGGTTTTGGTGCCATCGACGCTCGGACACTAATCGAGTATCCACGTGAACACAATGTCGACTCCATAATAGGCAACACTCTCATAGCCAACGTGCCACAGGTTGTGCTTTCGATCATCTATTTCTCATGCAACAGTCTGTTGACGTGTATGCTGCTAGGAAAAGAATGGTCATCGTATTCATACGTTCGAAAGGGTTTAAGGGTTTCGAGCGCCCCGAGAGGGTTGCAAAGATCAACCTACTTCTTGTCGCTACCTTATCGGTTTGCAATACCACTTATGGCAATCAGTGGATTGCTACATTGGATGATATCACAAAGCATCTTCTTTGCCGCCATAGAGGTAGGCTCTTTACCTGGACATGTTCTGAACTTAGTGTGATAGCTGACGATGACATTAGTTCTATGGGATCGGTGATAGTGTGCCATCAGATGTACGATATACATGCGGCTATTCTCCCATCGCCATGATATCTGTGATCATCGTTGCGAGTCTCGTTCTCATTGTCGGCGTCGGAGTGGGATTCGTTCCTTTGCGACCAGGAACCAATCTGGTTGGCAGTTGTAGTGCAGCCATGAGCGCAGCTTGTCACTTGTCAACCGCTGACAAGGAAAGAGGTGATGAAATTGCCGTTAAGAAGTTAATGTGGGGTGTTGTTGAAGTACAATCAAATGGAGCGGGGCATTGCTCCTTCTCCGACGAGGCCGTGGAAAACCCCAAAGAAGGTGAGCTATATGCTGGGCCGCGTGCGCAGGCTTATCCATAGCGACCGAAAAGATGAAATAGATGGTTATATAGAGGATAGTTGAGCGAGTTTGGGTAGTCGCTGGAAAGGTGTCTTCGTAGCAAAGCGATGGTGCCGTCGCGCGTGGACTTTTATTCGGATGCCGGACGGAGGGATGACCTAAGCGTGCCATAATCAGCATTATCTCCACCTTTCGGAAGCGGGTCCGGCTACCAACCACCCTGCTTCGGCTCATGACTAGCACACTCACGCGACGCACTAAATGATGATTTGCAACGTCATTGAAGCCACAGCAAAGAAAGCGTCCACATGGTGCGGATCAGCGTTGGATGCGGGGTCCGGACTGACCTCGGTGTACAATGCCCCATATATCAAGCTTCTCCAAAGTGACTTTGGGGTCTTGTAGAGTAACATCTTATAACCTACGATAGCAAAAGTATTGATACAGTGACTATGGCGAAACAAGAGTACAAATTCCCGGCGTTTGACGACCTTCCGAAGGTCGAGGGCATGCCACAGGGCAGCATATGGGGGTTCTTTGACAAAGACGGGCAAAAGGATGAAGTCGGAAGTAAAGCAAATTGTACCCCATACAGCAATCGTATATCTAACAGGCGACAGCTATCAACCTTCTCACCTCGGATGTCGTGAAAGCGGCCTCCAAAGAGATCACTACCGGCGAGCACATCCAGCTTGACTGGGAACTACACAATGTGCAATTTCCAGGGTTCAACAGAAAAGAACTCGAGCAAAAGCAAATCGATTTCGCGGACTTCTCCGAGTTCTGCGCGAACGATGACGAACTTCACATCAACACTCAAGCTGGTTCTCAGTGGGATAGCTTGAAGCATTTCGCGCATCAAGCAAGCGGCATGTATTACAACGGTCTCTCGCATAAAGAGGCAGCCAACAGCGTCACGAATGGTACGCACAAGTGGTGCGAAAGAGGTGGCATTGTTGGAAGGGGTGTGCTTTGCGACTGGCTTAGTTGGTATGAAGAGAAGAACGGGAAGAAGGCACCAAGTGCGGTATCGAGACACGAAATCCCTATCGAGGAGATTGAAGAGACGCTGAAGTGGCAAGGCACCACTTTGAAGCAGGGAGATATTATGATGATTCGTAGCGGATACGTAAGATGGCATAAGTACGTTGTCTTACCACTTTGAGAGATATGACTGACAATACTAGCAACGCGAACGAAGCGGAGCGCAAGAGCGGTACTCGCGACAATAGTGTCGCGATTGGTCTTCAAGCCAATGAGAAGACGGTACGTTGGCTTTACGACCGTCACCTCGCGGCGATCGCTGGTGATACTGTCGCTTTTGAAGCATGGCCACCAAAGTTTACCGACGGATGGTGCCTACACGAGTGGCTCCTCGTTCATTGGGGTACCGCTATCGGCGAGATGTGGGATCTTGAGAAGCTCAGTGAGAGGTGCAAGGAGATGGGCCGGTACACTTTCTTCATGACAAGTGCTCCATTGCACGTAAGGGGTGGTATTGGAAGTCCACCTGGAGTTATCGCCATCTTCTAGGCGCATTCGGTCACCGTTGCTTTCGGAACTGTATCAACGTTATTTCTGTGTATACGATAGTACCACTTCAAAGAAAATCTGGCATCAGCAACATTCGCAGGTTAGCATCAGATCCCGCGAAGATATCGCCGTCGACTCCGCTTTCGTGTTTAGCCTCATCTTGACATATTGCCCAAAATTCCAGTAAACCTATTGGTCATTGAGTCTGACGCTTCTCAGGAAGAGATATGTAGGTGATTGAACATCCAGAGTTACTATTACCAGAATGGAGCGGACGGAATGGGTGTGGTAGGGTGTTCGCGTGTCGCGAGGCGTATCGGCGCGTATTCTCTTTCGTTACGCGACCCACAGACCAACACGAAACAACCAAGCATGGTGTCAAAAGATGCCGCGCGGCGCTGCGCCTCTTGTAGTAATGCTTGAGAGAGATAAGAGAACCAAAGAGTTGAATGCGAAAAATGTGCCGAGTCAAGATGTTTATATAGTAACGGCGCGCAGTCGTGTCTTGGAATGTATCTTCATTCGCTCCATCATCTTCTGCATCTATTCACATTTTTACAATCGTCTTTTCATTTGCTGCTTGCTAGACCGCAATTCCGTTAGATTTCATACCAGTCCCCCAAATGGCGTCTCACGACATAGTATCCAGAGGCGAAGCTGACTTCGATCTTTACCCTTACACGCCCTCAGCAGGCGCCGGCTACACATTTCTCATACTTTTCGCGATCGGCGGCCTGACGCATCTCATCATGCTCATTCCGTTGCGAAGTTGGTTCTTCATCCCATTCGTTCTGGGCTGCGTAGGTCAGTTACCTCAGTGCTTGACCCCATCGCCTAAAAGCACATCGCTGATAATTTGATCCACAGGCGAAGCAGCCGGCTACTACGGTCGCGCCTGGTCCTCACAGAATATCCGACAAGGCAGCCCTTATCTCCTTCAACTCATGCTTATCCTCGCGGCCGCACCGCTTCTCGCAGCCACCATCTACATGACGCTCGGTCGCCTTATTCGCTCTCTCGATGCTACGCACCACGCTGTAATGAATCCGCGCTGGACGACGAAGATATACGTTATCATCGATATCGGATCCTTTGTATGTCAGATCATGGGGTCGGCGATGCAAGCTTCCGGTGACCCAGACGGAGTCAAGACTGGAACCACCGTCGTCATCGCAGGACTGGGTACGCAATTGGTTGCTTTCGGCTTCTTCATCCTAATGGCGGTGGTGTTTCATCGAAGGTTAAACAACGAACCTACCAGCACGTCAAGGCGGACACATGTCAAGTGGCGCCGCTACATGTGGGCTTTGTACAGTGTCAGTGTGCTTGTCGTTGTGCGGAGCATTTTCCGGCTGGCGGAGTTTGTCGAGGGGCCAGAAAGTAAGGTGTATCAGACAGAGGCGTACTTGTATGTCTTTGATGCGGCGCTCATGTTCGCGGTGGTGGTTATCATGGCGGTCTTTCATCCGGGGTTTCTGTTCAGAGTCGTCAGAAAAGCTGAGTTGATGCCACTTAGTGATGACGAGGGGAATGGTAGCTATTTACTGCGCGGAGATGGTCCAAGGTAGTTTCTCCGGGTAGATGACAGATGTACAGTATTTAGAAGGTGGTAGAGTAGACAGTAGAATGCCACTCTCGTCGGCCATTTTGTATACCGGGTTCCAACCAAACACCCGAGAATTAATTGAACAGCTTACTAAGCGCTTAATTACTGCCAGTGTGATAATCGACTGAGTGATACCGAATGCAGGTATGGTATCAATGGCGTCAATGTTGTGGTCATCTTGGCGAAGAGAGATTGGAGTGAATTATCGGCCGCAAAGGTTGCGACAGCAATGAAGGGTCAAATACTGCCCCAACTCCATCACGCGAGTTTCTTAGCTCACCTTGGCGGTTACGCAGAGTTCCGAGGGTATATAAATATAGGGTTGACCGTACCCAGACTCTCACTACCCCGCGCACAATCTCTACTCCACGATGTCGATATACATGATGTCGGGCTCACATAGTTCCTACACGCCACCATATCCTAATCAGTACTATTCCTCCCTGCCTCCGCGGCCCCAGGATGCCGCCTTCAATAGCCCAGTGCAAAGTTCCGTCAAGGCCTTCAACGTCCCAGTCTCTGACCATACCCTCGAGTACCGAATTCTAGAGCTGCTACAACCTTTTCGGGACACCAGCAGTCTCTTGAACGCCACTAATGAAGCCAAGAACGTTTTATTGCTGGCTCGTAAGTACAACTGTCTTTGAGTCTTTTCGGAGCGATCTTTCCTCTAGGGTATTGTTGTCAATACTTGAAGTCGATTGTGTTGCACGCGCAATCCCACCACTGGCTATTTCCTCCATCCATGTAAGTAACAAAGCTAAGAGATCTGTCAGAAAATATCGCCTCCATCATTGTCAGCAAACAGTCCAAGGATCTCTCCAAGGCGGGAATAACCGATGTGTATATCATGAGCCGCAACTTGAACACCACCGCAGTCAACGGTACCGCAGCCAGCGGTCCGGCGTATCTCCGCATCTTCTTCCATATCGACTACCAATCGATTACAGTTGTTAAAGCGAAGATCGAGAACGGGAAGAACGCGATCGGTGCGCTTATCGACGAGGTGGACAAGGTCATCGAGAGCCTCATGGAAGACTCATAGTGGTTGTTTGAGGTATGCATGTCGTCGGGTGGTCGAGAGGAGAAGGAGACGAATTTTGGAGCCCGAGTCCATGGGTGACTGCTACATCGCTGGATAGCTCCTAGTCAACTTCAGGGCTTTGTAGAAACTGCTATATTGTGTAGATAATGGCTGGTCGGCGTCTGCAGCAATCAAAGTGCTCCCCTCTTCTGTCCAGGGTCGCCTCGCCTTCTTCTGGGCTGTGACCCAGGTATGATCCGCCTGCTTGACACTTCCGACATACTTGTACGACAGCATGTTCGCATCAAGTATACGCTGAGAACCCTAACGACACAAACTCTCCCGAGCTTAAGCAATGCGGCCATGCAAGGCATAGACTTTAGGGGCAAGTTCTTTGACGTTGAGACGACACTACGACGCTAGTAGGGATAGCCGGTGCGGCCATGGTGTGGTCAGACACATCGTTGACTTCTGAACTAACCCTCCGATGGTTCGTGCATTTGACAACTTTGTACATGATTAATCGGAACGTTCCGAGTACAGGGACAGGAGCAAGGTGGTATCTCAAACTTTTAGTAAGAGCGTTTTGTAGGTTGAGGCACAAGTAGCGCCTGACAGGCTTAGTGGATCGGCTGATCTACGCCCTAGCACGCAGGCACGTCGACCAGTTCTGTACAAGATCGGTCAGGGCGGGCAGATCTGAAGGGAGAGCGCTTCCAGGATTGGCCTTGTCTGGAATTTCCCGGTTTCCGCACTTCACGTGCTGGGGTCGGAGCCGTTTGATGCGTGTGTGGCGCGCACGAACTTGGGAACGTGAGGGCGACGCGCCAGCAGGACCCATTGAAGTAGACGGGCGGCGAATGAGCAGGCGCCCCACGAGATTGCATCGTGAACTCGAAGATGGACGTCGTCATCGTGCGAGCGGTGTGGCCGGCGGTACTCGCGCTAGCCGTCTAGCGTGTCGCCAAGGAAAGCTTGGTATCCCTCCGATGTGGCGCAACGAACTAGACGGAGCGACAGGAAAGGAGAGCATCACGTACTCCGCGAGGGGGGGAGAAGGCGTGGGCAAGCAGGAAGTCCGCAGGAAACGGGATTGTCTGATACATGCAGGGAAGAGTTTGCTAGGCTGGGCGGCGCCACACTTCGCATCAGACGGAATCGAGATGTGGCGCTGTCGAATTACCCATGACGCAAGCGGGACACATGTTTTGGCATCCTTCGGGAAACCTGGCGCCGATCGAACCCCCAAACATACCTAGAGGCTCCGTCATACAGGCCAGGGCGACCTCGTTTGGGCGTGGCAGGCCTCGTGCCCCAGGCAAAACGTGGACAGCTGTGGCATTGGACGGCACATGGTCAGGGAACTGGGCTGCCGCGTTCTGTGAGCGTGTCCGCGGAATTCGATCGCTGGCAGCGGGAAAATGGTGGCCGGTAGTCGCGGGGTCAGGCAAGTTGGTCGTGGTCGGTCGCTGTTCCAAGTCCAGGCTCTTCGCAAGCGGCAAGCTACGACGCAGTGACGTAGTTGCTGCAATCGCGCGTGTTACCCAGCCAGCCCAAATACAAAGCTGCTTTCTGCCCTCACCCGCCTCCCTCCCACACAAACCACTTTGATACCCATCCCCTCGAAATACCCATCCACCCTACCTCCATTGTTTTCAGCTCTGCGTCTGCATTTTGATACCCCACCTTGATACCCACAGAAGCAGTCCTACACCATGAGTTCCGTAAATCGTATGTCTAGCTACCCCGCTTTGCCCCCAAACATTGCTAACAGACTGCAGGTCCGGTGGACTTGAAGCAGAAGGAGAAGGATGTCAACAACAAGCTACAGCTGTACGGCATCTTCGAGGGTATGTGAACACGTGCAATGGCGCGTCGATGCCCTTCGCGTCGCACACGCAAATGTAAACAAGCGCTGACCACAACTAGCCTTCTCTAACGGAAAGGTCCCCTCCAACCAGCAAATCGATGTCGCGCTCAACTCCGCGCTGGCCCACAGGTCGCTCAACTCACCATCCAAGAAGCTGTCGAGCGAGGGTCAGCATCTGGTGACCGACCTCAAGAAGGTCATCGAGCAGGCCAAGATCCTACTACTCACCAAGAACGAGGGCAACCTCCTCCAGGACTTCATCTGGCAGGCAGAGCACCTCGGTGGCAACAGCGCCGCCCTCCCTAATGCCCCTGTTGATAAGGACACAGCGAAGCAGCACGGAAACGAGGCGCTTGACGGTCTACGGACTCTCGGTACCCTCCTCATTTCCAACGGCCAGTTCAGGAAGTTGCTTTCAGATGCCACCGTTCTGCTCCGTGACATGGCTGGCGATGCCGCCCAGAACACCGCCAACAAGGTCAAGCCCTCAGAAGACCGTCTCAACAAGCTAGATGAGCCTGCTGAGGACAACACTTGGCACGACACCTCCGACCTGAACCGTGAGAACCTTCGCAACCAAGCTAAGAGCAGTCTGCCCTTCGGCAACAAGAACAAGGACGAGGCCAAGGGTGACTTGAAGGAGCATGCCAAAGACATCAACCAGGCTGCCAACCCTGATGGCTCGCGCGACCCCCAGCACACCGCCCAACTTGGCGCCCACGAGGGTCAGACCGGCCAGAGCACTGGCGTCGACGCCCGTGGTGCTCTCGATGCTGCCAAGCAGAAGGTTGACGCGAACACTTCTGAGGAGGACAAGAACATGGCCCGCGCCCGTCGCGACCAGATGAACAACTACCTCAAGGGCAAGATGCCTGAGGAGCGCCGCGAGCAGACCATCTGGCGTCTTAAGAAGATGGTAGTCGAGATTCAGGGCCACCAGGACTACCAGCGTGCCATCGAAACCCTACTCAGCCTCGCCGAGCAGTACTCCGGCCATGGTAAGAACCTTGGCCAGCAGGGCAAGGGTTCTGTTCAAGGTGCGCATCAGAACGATGCCCTAACTACTGCTGAAGCTGATCTCAAGGTGCGTATTTAGGTTTCCTCTCGGAGAACAAATGGCTGACCAACATGAAGACTCTTCTCGAGCGTTTCGCAAACAACACCTCGTTCGATGACTTGATTGAGTCCATCAACCAGGTCTACAAGGATGCCGACCAGGATCCAGAGCTCAGGAACTGGTTCACTCGCATCAACCAGTTCATCCGCAAGACTCTCCAACAGCAGGGCTTCATCCTCGAAGACCGTAGCAACGAGGAGTGGAACCAGATCTACGATGATGGTCACCGCCTCCTTCGCGGCCGCTACCGTGGACACACTGACCGCATCGCCGACGAGTTCAAATTCGTTGGCGAGCAGTTCGACGCTGACCCGCAGAACAAGCAGTTCGCTGACTCTGTCAACAAGCTCTTCCTTGACCTCGGTCAGGATGAGAACGGTCAGACTGTGTTCAAGCCCCACCTTCTCAAGGACCTGAGCGACGTCATCCTCCCCTCCATCTTCGAGAACGTCCGTTACGTCCCCATCCCGCGTATCGAATACAGCGACCCCATGGTCGACGCCGTCGTTGAGAACCTCGTCATCGAGGGTGACAACCTTGCTCCCAACTCTTTGGAGTTCGGCTCGGACAACTACTGGCGCTGGGGACGCAAGTCCATCTCGAGCAAGAACAAGAACAAGGTCATGCTCTCTGTCTCGGGTGTACAGATGGATCTCAGGGACGTTTCCTACTACATCAAGCGCAAGCAAGGCTTCCCATCCATCACCGACAAGGGTGTTATGGACATCTTCATGGGTGGCTCCGGCTTCAGCTTCAAGGTTGAGATGGAGACAGCTGACAAGGCCCGCGAGAACAACGCGCAGACCCACTTCTTCAAGGTCACCAAGGTTGAGTCTGACATTAAGAACCTTCAGATCAAGATGAAGAAGAGCAACCACAAGCTCCTCTTCAACATGTTCAAGCCCCTTCTTCTCAAGGTCATGCGTCCTGTCATCCAGAAGGTCTTGGAGAAGCAGATCAAGGACTCCGCCAACCAGCTTGACGGCCTTCTCTTCGACATCAAGACTGAGGCTGACCGCGCCGAGGCTGAGGCCAAGCGCAACCCCGACCCTCAGAACATTCAGAACATGTACCAGCGCTACGCCTCTGCTATGCAGCACCGCGTCATGCAGGGCAAGCAAAAGAAGGAGCAGGTCAAGGAGAAGACCAAGGACACCCAGGTCAACATGGCTGTTACTCAGCACGACTCCATCTTCAAGAACATCTCCCTACCCGGCGGTATCTCTTCCAAGGCTACTGAGTACAAGGAGCTCGCCGGCAAGGGCGAGAAGTGGGAGAGCCCCATCTTCTCTATCGGCTCCGCCAAGGAGACTTCCAGCTTGCCTCAGGTTGGCAAGGTCACTCGCAAGCCCCACGGTCGCGCAGGCGGCTACGGTAGCACCAGTGAGGAGTCTCGCGGTCTTGGAGCCTCGCAGGGCATCAACCCATCCGCCAACCAGTACGACAGCCAATACACCAACGCTGGTGGCCTCGGCGGTGGTCAGGGCGTTACCACTGGTCAGGGTCTGATGGGTGGTGCTGCTGCTACTGGTCTCGCCGGCGGCGTTCCTTCCACCACTGGCACCCAAGGCTTCGGCACTCAGGTTGACGATGCTTTCAACACCACCGGTACCGCCGCACCTGTTGGATCGTCTGGCCTCGGCTCCACTGGCCTTGGTTCAACTGGTCTGAACGACTCTACTGCCACCACTACTTCAGCAACTCATCCAGCTCACCCCACTGGTGCCCCGGCTCCCGGCGAGTATAACACTACCTTCGGTGACCAGAACCCCGTCTTCCAGGGCCGCGTTTAGATGCTTGTTGGTCGACCAGTGATACCCGATACGCTTGGGGCTGCGAGTCATGATTACGACTTTCCTACCTTTTGATCATGGATGATACCACGATTGCGCCACGGCGCACGCGCACATGAGTAGCAAATAGCATGTTTTCTTGGTTCTTCTTTCTTGCTTTCGGCGGTTTATGAGTAGTGTAGGACGATTGCGCCCGTAATGGGGAGATGGTTGCCGGGGCGGACCTGAAGCTGTCAAAAGC